AATTCAAAATGACCTGGACAAATTGGAGAAATGGTCTGAGGTAAATAGGATGAAGTTTAATAAAGACAAATGCAAATTGCCCCACTTAGGAAGGAACAATCAGTTTCACACACACAGAATGGGAAGCGATGGTCTGGGAAGGAGTACGGCAGAAAGGGATGTAGGGGTTATAGTGGACCACAAGTTAACTATGAGTGAGCAGTGTGATGCTGTTGCAAAGAAAGCAAACATGATTCTGGGATACATTAACAGGTGTGTTGTGAGCGAGACACGAGAAGTCATTCTTCCGCTCTACTCTGCGCTGGTTAGGCCTCAATTGGAGTATTGTGTCCAGTTCTGGGCATCACATTTCAAAAAAGATGTGGAGAAATTGGAGAGAGTCCAGAGAAGAGCAACAAGAATGATTAAAGGTCTAGAGAACATGACCTATGAGGAAAGACTGAAGGAATTGGGTTTGTTTAGTTTAGAAAAGAGAAGATTGAGGGGAGACATGATAGCAGTTTTTAGATATCTAAAAGGGTGTCCTAATGAGGAGGGAGAAAACTTGTTCATCTTGGCCTCTGGGGATAGAACAAGAAGCAATGGGCTTAAACTGCAGCAAGGGAGGTTTAGGTTGGACATTAGGAAAAAGTTCCTAACTGTCAGGGTTGTCAAACACTGGAATAAATTCCCCAGGGAGGTTGTGGAATCCCCATCTCTGGAGATATTTAAGAGTAAGTTAGATAAATGTCTATCAGGGATGGTCTAGACAGTATTTGGTCCTGCCATGAGGGCAGGGGACTGGACTCGATGACCTCTTGAGGTCCCTTCCAGTCCTAGTATTCTATGATTCTCTGATACATTACAGTCCACTTTTAAATTTTGTTTACAAACTGGCTACCAATTTGTAATCATCACATGCTCCTGTACAAGTCAATGGGGATTAATAGGAGCATGATCCTGAAGATGGCTTCAAGGATACCTTTGAATCAGCACACCTCCCAGTTTAATGTAATATGCTTCTTTGGCTGTGCAGGACCTTTGTAGCCTCTCAAATAAAGGGGAGTTTGGGGATGCTTTTGCAGCTAGGGCGTCTTCACTGGCGGAGATGGATACTAAGGATTCTTGCCAGGGTTAGCATATGTGCTAGGTTGAACATGAGCCCAGACAAGTGATTTTTTTCTCAATATTTGTTCCATTATTTTACTAGGTGATAGATCTATGTGGTAGTAAATGCCAAGGCTTGACATTTGAAATCGGTACAGTGCATTCATAGAATTAATTTACTTATATTTATTCTCACCCAGATGGAAGACAGACATCTGCAGTTCAGCTAATGTAAACAAAAGTTGTTTTTTCTTGTGTGTATTTTACTCCCCTCGACCTACATTTTTTCTGTGACTTCAGTTATGTAATTTCCTGACATGAATTAATATCAAACACATGTCTAATTTGTGTTCCAACAAACAAAAAAAGACTGATATTAAATGCTTTGTTCAGTCAGAGCCTTGGACCTGCTACTTAAATCCACTCAGTTTGTTCAAAAACACAAATTGGGTTATATATTATGGGTCAAATCCTGAGGCATTACTGAGGCAAATCTATTGATGTCACTGAAAATATTGCCATATTGAGAGCTGGAAGATTTGGGCTTTACTTCCTACCTTGTAAGTATTATATAATTACAACACAGTTCTGAAAAATACTATATACAGGCAGTCCCCAGGTTATGTACAAGATAGGGACTGTAGGTTTGTTCTTAAGTTGAATCTGTATGTAAGTCGGAACTGGCGTCCAGATTCAGCCGCTGCTGAAACTGATCAGTTTCAACAGCGAGCTGGAAGATTTGGGCTTTACTTCCTACCTTGTAAGTATTATATAATTACAACACAGTTCTGAAAAATACTATATACAGGCAGTCCCCAGGTTATGTACAAGATAGGGACTGTAGGTTTGTTCTTAAGTTGAATCTGTATGTAAGTCGGAACTGGCGTCCAGATTCAGCCGCTGCTGAAACTGATCAGTTTCAACAGCG